TAATTATCGTTATAAGCGGGCCTGTCCTGCCATATTTTAAACGTATTTCCGGATCGTTTTCGATTTCCATCATAGGCACCGGTAATAGGCGCCCAGCACCGAACAGAAAGTATATTTCGGATCATTGCTGAATTCAAATGCAAATAACTTAACCGATTTTTATAAAATTTACAGCAATGGTAAAAAATGTGTGGGAATTCGGTAATAGGCGCCCAGCACAGAACAGGGAGTATATTTGGGAGTATCATTGAATTCAAATGCAAATAAGTCTGGAAATGCTTAACCGATTTTTATAAAATTTACAGCAATGGTTAGAGGGAATTCACATACTTAAAATCGATATTAATAAAAGAGTAAAATGGTTGACTAACTTACTGACTGACATAACGATTTATCAACGCCCAGGCGAAATTGCTGAAGCTAGAATATTGAAATTTAGTCTCATATTCACTCCAAGTCCGAAGGTGTCAGATAAAATGTTGAAAATCGTATTAGAACAGCACGACAAATACTAAATATGCTGCTATTTGTATTTGGCGAACCGGTAGAAGTAGCACTAAATTTGGAATGAAGGTCACTGTACGAGTGTAGGATTTGTGTACCAATTTTTATACCCAGCACAACTATGTTGTCAGAGTATTATAGCTTTGTGCAGCCTCAAAAGTTTGTAACGCCTCGAAATATTGGTCCTAGACCCACCGATGGAGTATACCGATCGTCATATCTCGACTAGCTGAGTCGTTGGTCATAATTTGTTAACACAATCTTGCATGTAGGATGGGTAATAATCCGTTAATATTTAGGGGATGAAACCACAACAGCTTTATTTTCTTCTGTTTTTTCCGGTCCCTCTAGATCCCATAATTATCCCGAACATCACGCAATTTTGGATGGAGAAGAATAATCAAAGAATAAGCATAACTGTTTTGATAAAGATCGGTCAATATTTAGCCGTTCAAATGGACCCAGACTTTTGTGTAAAAAATTACAAAATTTGTGTTATACATACTTCTGGAGGATATACACCCGAGAAGTTGATAGTATATCCAAGAGAAGTGGTTGACACTTAAATGGATTATATTATAGTAATGTATCTACTAGGATATGGGAGTTATATTTAAATATTTAAAAGTATCTATGTGTTCTGATATTATTTAAAAACCTATTTCCACATTATAGGGCGGAAATATCGCGCAGATCGCTTTAAAATTATACGTGAAGGTCCGATAATTTTCGGTGATGTTGAAATAATATTTAGGGGGTGCAATGATCCGAAAACTTTAATTTTTTTGTCAGATTTTCTAGCCACTCTATGGGTCATTACTATTTGGAGAACATTACATATTTTACACGGTGAAGGAAATCTCACCAAATACTTAGAACGGCCGTTTAGATGATCATCGGTCAATATTTCGAGGGTCAAATAAACCAAAACCTAAAGTGACGAATTTTGTTAAGCTCTGGAATACAAGATTTGAAAGTCGCGAAATATTGCCCAGGCCCGGAATATTCGAAAGAAAAATTCGATTTTTTGGACGAAATAATTGAAATGCAAATATAGGATCCTTTAAGCGGAATATAGAACCCGTCCGCATATGCTGCTCCTCTCCTTGTTTTTTGTTTTTTTTTTTTTTTGGAACTATAAGTATTTGATAGAGTTAAAAGTTGCAATTCGGAACCAGAGCAACCAATTTTTCATTTTACAGCAATTATAGATGCTACTGCGTAAATTTGATTTGTACGGCTCAAAATAATGTCAGGCATTAATAGCAAGCTTTAGATTCGATTTTATGGACGAAATAATTGAAAGCAAATAGAGGATCCTTTAAGCGATTGGTTTAAAGTTATTGCAATTTTACGATCAACCTTAATTTCCTAAACGACCTGTAAATTTTGCGAACGCAGCGCTATCTATTGATGCAGTAGATTGAAATAACGAAAATGAGCAATGTATTGTTCTCATAAAATTGGTGTCATATGAAAGCAAAGAAGACAGACTATTTTTTACATATATCAGAATTTTCATAAATATCGATTGTTATATGTGAAATATTGTTTAGAAATATACGTTTTGAAATGATCAAATAAATTTTATCGATTCTATAATAACGACAATTAGTTGACCTTCACAAAGACAACTTATTTGTGTTAATGCAGCAATTTCTTAAAAAGTTACAGCCTGTGGAAGGCACTTCTGAAGAAAAGCCGGCCAGGAAAGGAGAAATCTGAGGTCAGAATCCGAATATATGATATCCTACACCACTTTGAGTATATCCAAGAGATGTTCCTATGATTCTCATTGCAAACTTTTTGAAGACCTACCATAGGCGCCGCTTTTCTAGAAAATATTTTTTTCAAGGTCTGGATTTTCCAAAGGATATTTCAAGGTCTGAAGAGGTTAAAGAATATTTTTAACCAATTAGAATATTGTTAAGGTCATTTTTATAACATTCACCACACTGTGGTACAGGGTATTATGTCTTTGTGCATATGTTTGTAACAGGCAAAAGGAAACGAGATAGAGACATGGTTCCTTTTGAGAATATGCATTGAATTACTTTCTGAGTTGATTTACGCATGTCCGTCTATCCGTACATTTATTTTTGTGAACAAAGTGCAGGTCACATTTATGATCCGACTTGGATGAAATTTGACATAGGTCACTTATTTGGCCCAAGGACGAACCCCTTTGAAATTGGAAAAAAATCGGTTCAGATTTAGATATAGCTTCCATATATATTTTCGACCGATTTAATGTAAATGGTGCACAAAAGTCCCAATATATATTTCGATGTGTACGAAATTTGGCACAACGTAATGAATTAGGTCTAGAATGATGTGTGTAAAGTTTCGTGAAAATCGGTTCAGATTTAGATATAGCTCCATATATATCTCTTCGATTTGCCGAAATTTTGCACAGCATAATGAATGTAGAAATGTGTGTTAAGTTTCTGAAAATCGGTTCAAAGATATACCTCCCATATATATTTTTCGATTTGCACGAAATTTCGCACAGCATAATGAATTAGGTATAGAATGATGTGTGTTAAGTTTCCTGAAAATCGGTTCAGATTTAGATATACCTCCCATATATATTTTCGTCCGATTTAAGGTAAATGGTGCACCAAAGTCCCTATATATCGATGTGTACGAAATTTGCGCGATTTATGTTAAGTTTTGAAAATGGCAGATTTTGATATACATATATAGCGATTTTATGTAAATGGTGCACCAAGGTCCCTATATATCCTTCGATTTGCACAAAAATTGGCATAGCGTAATGAATTAGGCATAGAATGCTGTATATTAAGTTTCCTGAAAATCGGTTCAGATTTAGATATAGTTCCCATATATAGTTTCGTCCGTTTTCATGTAAATGGTCCACCAAAGTCCCTATATCTCTCTCGATTTGCACGAAATTTCGCACAGCATAATGAATTAGGTATAGAATGATGTGTGTTAAGTTTCCTGAAAAGTCCCTATATATCCATATATATTTTCGATTTGCACTAAAGTCCCTATATATCTTTCGATTTGCGCGAAATTTGGCACAGCGTAATGAATTAGGCCTAGAATGGCGTGTGTAAAGTTTCGTGAAAATCGGTTCAAATTTAGATATAGCTCCCATATATATTTTCGTTCGATTTAATGTAAATGGTCCACCAAAGTCCTTATACATCTTTCGATTTGCACGAAATTTGGCACAGCGTAATGAATTAGGCATAGAATGTGTGGTGTGTCAAATAGATATAGCTTCCATATATAATCGGTTCAGATTTAGATATCCCTTAATATATTTCTATATCAGAAATTTGGCACAAATGTAAAAATGTGTGTAGTATCGGTTATTTAGATATAGAATGACATGTTTATGGATCCAATTTAATTTTACTGGTCCTTTAAAAATGCGACGTCTGTTAGGATTCAACTGTTGAATATACCAAAAGTGGTGAAGGGTATTATATAGTCGGCCCCGTCCGACTTTACTACTCTCCTTACTGGTTTGTGAATAAATAAATAGATTTTTAGGAAATATATATCTTTTCTAATTACTTTTTTATTTTTGTTTTTTTATAAAAATAATAATTATGTACATTTTATTAAAGAGAAAATTAAAAAAAAATGAAAATACTACACATAAATGATTACATAGGTATACAAAATTAAAAAAAAATAAATTATAAAATAAAACAATTTTTTCCAAAAATATAACAAAACTATCCTTTAAAAATTAGTAATAAAGACCCTTAATTTTTAACATTTAAAAGTAAATCGAGAAATTTTAAAATTTTTACAAAGAAGTTTTATATTTCAAACAAATAAAAATAATGATATAGGCACTTTAAAATAAATTTGTTGATAAGTTTGTTTTTCAAAAAATTCTCAGACCACCAGGACGCAGAACTTGTCATCTCCACTAATGGAAAATTTTTCTAGTTTATTCGATATAATAGAAAAAAAATAACATATTATAGATATATTTAAAATATATTACAAAAATATTATCGTCAGACCACAAGGGGGATAGTTTTTTCATACCACCAGGTGTGTTGGTCGGATAGGTTCAGACCACCAGATATTAGAAAAAGTTCTGATAGTTTTTTCTATAGAAAAAATTCTCAGACCACCAGGTCGGATAGTTTTTTCTATAGAAAAAATTCTCAGACCACCAGGTCGGATAGTTTTTTCTATAGAAAAAATTCTCAAACAGCAGTTATTAGTTTGTAATAGAAAAATATCTCAGAACTCCAGGACTGATATTTTTCTGTTTATTCGATATAATAAATAACATAATATAGATATATTTAAAATATATTACAAAAATATTCTCGTTGGGTTTTTTATGTGTTGGTCAGGTTCAAAGATATTACATTCTGCCAGAAAAATACAATTCGATTAAATACTTATCACAGCAGTTATTAGTTTGTAATTATCTATTAGCACAAAACGATATTTAGTGTACCATAATTAATTAATAATATACATATAAACTTATAAATACGTCCCCTCCTCATCGCTGAGTCATCGACGCCACAAAAGCCTGCAGGCTATAATACCGATCCCCGTCATCCTTGGTAACACTGGTGACATGATGAAATTGACAAGGCTGGGAGATTTGAGCTTTCGGTGGCAAGGGTACGTGACGCATACGTTTCGATTTCTCTTTATCTCTAGGCAAAGTTAGAAGATTATTTTCCGGATTGCTTAGCAAACGTTCCATATGTAACCAAATTTCTTGAGCCGCAGCTGTTGTATCATAACTGAAGCCAATCATTTGCTCTGGATTACTCGACAAGGACATTGTATGAAACGATGGTCCCGCCACTTGATAATTTGATAGGGTGCTAACACGATCTGACCACAAGGCAAAACATGAACCCCTCTCAGCCAAGACCAATGTGATACGTTTAATGGTTCTTGTTCGTGTACTACCTTTGTCATATAAAATTACTGGTATCCCGGTGAATTTCAATTGCCAATCATTATCCGGCCCAGTGCCTTCATAGAGATTGGCCAATGCGGAACTAACAAAAATCTCGGTACCTAAACCGGCAAAGAAACACTCAACCTGTTCAATTTCATAATCGGAGAGTATGTTATTGTTGACCATATCGATGCTGTTCGTATCGGACGAATAGGCAGCACCTTCGGCATATATTGTACTCATCGCAGTGTTCATATCACCATGTTGTGATCCAGCTGACCATTCGGGGTTGTTTAAGAGAATATCATTGTTGTCCGTGGAGGTTGTACCCTCTGAGGATTCTGAAGGTGGAGCAGATTTTGTATAAGACATCTGAAAGAGAGAAAAGAGGAGAACATTAGGAAAAAGAAAATAAAAAGTTTTACTTAGCAACTGAAAATAAAATCAGACCAAAAGACCTGAATATTTTCCAAATAAAATTCAGACCACCAGACCTGAACTTTTTCCTATAGGCCTTTTTTGAATTTTTTATAGAAAAAATTCTTGTGTTCTGAGAATGGTTTCTATATAAAAATGCTCTGGACCCAATTCTGAACTTTTTCCATAGAACAAGTTTTCAGGCCCACAGGATCCCAGTTCTGAGTTTTTTCTAAAGCAAAAATGTTCAGGACCCCAGTTCTGAAAATGTTTCTATTTCTGAACATTTTTCGATGGAAAAAATTCTCAGGACCCCAGTTCTGAACGTTTTTTCTATAGAAAAAATTCTCAGGATTCTCAGTGAATATTTTTTATATAGAAAACATTCTTAGGACACCAGTTCTGAACTTTTTTCTATAGAAAAAATTCTCAGGACCCCAGTTCTGAGCTTTTTTTCTATAGAAAAAATTCTCAGGACCCCAGTTCTGAGCTTTTTTCTATAGAAAAAATTCTCAGGACCCCAGTTCTGAGCTTTTTTTCTATAGAAAAAATTCTCAGGACCCCAGTTCTGAGCTTTTTTTCTATAGAAAAAATTCTCAGGACCCCAGTTCTGAGCTTTTTTTCTATAGAAAAAATTCTCAGGACCCCAGTTCTGAGCTTTTTTCTATAGAAAAAATTCTCAGGACCCCAGTTCTGAGCTGTTTTTCTATAGAAAAAATTCTCAGGACCCCAGTTCTGAGCTGTTTTTCTATAGAAAAAATTCTCAGGACCCCAGTTCTGAGCTGTTTTTCTATAGAAAAAATTCTCAGGACCCCAGTTCTGAGCTTTTTTCTATAGAAAAAATTCTCAGGACCCCAGTTCGGAATGTTTTTTCTATAGAAAAAATTCTCAGGACCCCAGTTCTGAGCTGTTTTTCTATAGAAAAAATTCTCAGGACCCCAGTTCTGAGCTGTTTTTCTATAGAAAAAATTCTCAGGACCCCAGTTCTGAGCTGTTTTTCTATAGAAAAAATTCTCAGGACCCCAGTTCTGAGCTGTTTTTCTATAGAAAAAATTCTCAGGACCCCAGTTCTGAGCTGTTTTTCTATAGAAAAAATTCTCAGGACCCCAGTTCTGAGCTGTTTTTCTATAGAAAAAATTCTCAGGACCCCAGTTCTGAGCTGTTTTTCTATAGAAAAAATTCTCAGGACCCCAGTTCTGAGCTGTTTTTCTATAGAAAAAATTCTCAGGACCCCAGTTCTGAGCTGTTTTTCTATAGAAAAAATTCTCAGGACCCCAGTTCTGAGCTGTTTTTCTATAGAGCTGTTTTTCTATAGAAAAAATTCTCAGGACCCCAGTTCTGAGCTGTTTTTCTATAGAAAAAATTCTCAGGACCCCAGTTCTGAGCTGTTTTTCTATAGAAAAAATTCTCAGGACCCCAGTTCTGAGCTGTTTTTCTATAGAAAAAATTCTCAGGACCCCAGTTCTGAGCTGTTTTTCTATAGAAAAAATTCTCAGGACCAGTTCCAGTTCTGAGCTGTTTTTCTATAGAAAAAATTCTCAGGACCCCAGTTCTGAGCTGTTTTTCTATAGAAAAAATTCTCAGGACCCCAGTTCTGAGCTGTTTTTCTATAGAAAAAATTCTCAGGACCCCAGTTCTGAGCTGTTTTTCTATAGAAAAAATTCTCAGGACCCCAGTTCTGAGCTGTTTTTCTATAGAAAAAATTCTCAGGACCCCAGTTCTGAGCTGTTTTTCTATAGAAAAAATTCTCAGGACCCCAGTTCTGAGCTGTTTTTCTATAGAAAAAATTCTCAGGACCCCAGTTCTGAGCTTTTTTTTCTAAAGAAAAAATTCTCAGGACCTCAGTTCTGAGCTTTTTTCTATAGAAAAAATTCTCAAGACCCCAGTTCTGAGCTTTTTTTTCTATAGAAAAAATTCTCAGGACCCCAGTTCTGAGCTTTTTTTTCTATAGAAAAAATTCTCAGGACCCCAGTTCTGAGCTGTTTTTCTATAGAAAAAATTCTCAGGACCCCAGTTCTGAGCTTTTTTCTATAGAAAAAATTCTCAGGACCCCAGTTCTGAGCTTTTTTCTATAGAAAAAATTCTCAGGACCCCAGTTCTGAGCTTTTTTCTACAGAAAAAATTCTCAGGACCCCAGTTCTGAGCTTTTTTTCTATAGAAAAAATTCTCAGGACCCCAGTTCTGAGCTTTTTTTCTATAGAAAAAATTCTCAGGACCCCAGTTCTGAGCTTTTTTTTCTATAGAAAAAATTCTAACCATTATTGTTCTATTAGAAACATATTTGTAACTAAAATTTTATTATCCGAAAAAGGTTCACACAAATTATAGAGTTGACTTAAATATGCCCTTCAGAATTCTTTTGCGTTCATTCTTGCCCTAATTAAAACCAATTTTTGGTCTAATGAATGAAGACTCGAGAAGGAAAACGGAATGCCTCGTTTGGTATTTATTGTCCTAAATGCCTGGAGCTTATTGGACAAAGCAGTTTCGTTTTATGGACGAATAAAAGTCATGTTAAAGACTTAATGGTGGTTAGCTGGTGGCTGGCCATAACAATGGCTATGAAAGATACCAAACTAAAATATGAGCTGATATGAGGATAAGACACTCTATAACATCTAGGACATATATTTCCACAACACACAAATATTGTGTTGTGGAGAGAGAAGGAGAATTTATGTGCTGACAAAGTGTGTGAGTGTGTCGGTGTGTGTGTGTGTTGAAGTTACCACTAACTTACATTATTACACTTCAACTACTACACAACTAGAAGGAAAAAATAGGCCAAAGGCATAAACAATTTCAGTTTCTATTTTTTTTTATCTTCTAACAATGTCTAAGCCATAGAATGGAACTTTATCAAGCAACCAAAGAATATCAGTTATCTTCTGCTGCTTCTGCTCCTATCCAGACCAGCATCCTTGTTGTCGGTCGGTTGGTTGGTTGGTTGGTGTCATTACCATTCACTTCATGTTGTTTGCAACAATTCAAAGTAACCTACATTTCCGTTTCCTGTGTATGTTGTATCCTTATCATGGATGGATTCTGGTTTGTTGCTCACTTCGTTTATTTTTCATATCCTGCATCATGGAGCGTGTGTGTGTATTGTGTGCCGAGGATACTAAGTACCAATTCAGTGTAGCAACTCTCGACTATAAACGGAGTTTTAACATTCTTGTTTAAGGATTTGCAACAGACAAGAATCATTGACTAGTTGTGGATTTCACTTTGTCGGATTGCGAATTATTGCTACGTCCAAAAAAATTGTTCAATTCGGAATTTTTATTTCATTTTTGGTGTTCACAATTCCTTCTTTCCCCTGAATGTACGAAAGTACTCTGCCTGTGGCAAAACTGAGCCATATCATGTGTAGTTGATTTTTTATCGATGTGTTCTGGTGATGACTTTTTCGGAATTTCCATGAGTTTTTTTTTTGTGATTTCCTCTTTGCTCGGCATGTTTACTCTGGTGTCTTTTGCCAACACAACCACATCCATACTTCTGCTGAATTGTTAATGTTGTGCCAAGACATTTAAATAGGCCTTAATTTCGTCCTTAAAAGTTCCATAGAATATGGCTGTGGGTTTATTAATATCGATGAATATTTATTTTATTTATCGACAAAACAGTCGTTATGGTTTCCTCCATGTGGCTAATGATAAGGCACTTCCACCCCCCTTTCCACGTAACAGAGAAAATAAATTGTTCAGCGAAGCCAAAAGTGTACAACAAAAAATAAATAAATAGAAATTCTAAGGTCTTCCGAAGTGCAGTTATAGAATCCTGTGAAATTTTGTCTATAGAAAAAAGTTCAAAACTGGGGTCCTGAGAATTTTTTCTATAGAAAAAAACGTTCAGAACTGGGGTCCTGAGAATTTTTTCTATAGAAAAAACGTTCAGAACTGGGGTCCTGAGAATTTTTTCTATAGAAAAAACGTTCAGAACTGGGGTCCTGAGAATTGTTTCTATAGAAAAAACGTTCAGAACTGGGGTCCTGAGAATTTTTTCTATAGAAAAAACGTTCAGAACTGGGGTCCTGAGAATTTTTTCTATAGAAAAAAACGTTCAGAACTGGGGTCCTGAGAATTGTTTCTATAGAAAAAACGTTCAGAACTGGGGTCCTGAGAATTTTTTCTATAAAAAAAGTTCAGAACTGGGGTCCTGAGATTTTTTTCTATAGAAAAAAGTTCAGAACTGGGGTCCTGAAAATTTTTTCTATAGAAAAAAGTTCAGAAATGGGGTCCTGAGAATTTTTTCTATAGAAAAAAGTTCAGAACTGGGGTCCTGAGAATTTTTTCTATAGAAAAAACATTCAGAACTGGGGTCCTGAGAATTTTTTCTATAGAAAAAACATTCAGAACTGGGGTCCTGAGAATTTTTTCTATAGAAAAAAGTTCAGAACTGGGGTGATGAGAATTTTTTCTATAGAAAAAACGTTCAGAACTGGGGTCCTGAGAATTGTTTCTATAGAAAAAACGTTCAGAACTGGGGTCCTGAGAATTTTTTCTATAGAAAAAACGTTCAAAACTGGGGTCTGAGAATTTTTCTATAGAAAAAACGTTCAGAACTGGGGTCCTAAGAATTTTTTCTATAAAAAAAAACTTTAGAGCTAGGGGTCTGAGAATTTTTTATATAAAAAAAAAACTTCAGACCTAGGAGTCTGAGATTTTTGTATACCCTTCACGACACTGTGGTACAGGGTATTATGTCTTTGTGCATATGTTTGTAACAGGCAAAAGGAATCGAGATAGACCCTGGTTCCTTTTGAGAATATACCTAGAATAACTTTCTGAGTCGATTTACGCATGTCCGTCTGTCCTTCCGTCCGTCCGTCCTTTCATGTATTTTTGTGAACAAAGTACAGGTCGCATTTATTATCCGATTTGAATGAAATTTGGCACATGTCACTTATTTGGCCTAAGGACGAAATTGAAATTGAGGAAAATCGGTTCAGATTTAGCTATAGCTTCCATATATAAATTCGTCCGATTTTATGTAAATGGAGCACCAAAGAGTAAAATTTAGGCCGATTGGCAAAACATTTTGCACAGCGTACTGAAGTAGGTCCAAATTTATGTATGCGAAGTTTTGTTGAAACCTGTTCAGATTTAGATATAGCTCCCATAGATAGTTTGATTGGCATTCAATTTTTCATAAATATGAGATTGGTACCCAAAGTGGTGAAGGGTATCATATAATCGGCACCGTCCGACTTTTGAACTTTCCTTACTGGTTTCTATATAAAAAAGTTCACACCTGGTGGTCTGAGAAATTTTTCTATAGAAAAAAATTTAGACCTGTTGGTCAGGGAATTTTTTCCATAAAAACGTGGTATGAGAATTTTTTCTATAGAAAAAACTATCAGACCTAATGGTCTGAGATTTTTTTCTAAAAAAAATGAAAGACAATTTTGAGAACCGATATGCAAATATGTCCCCATCCCATCTGCCGTTCTTTTCGATCAATAAAAACTGTTCGACGTACTTGTAAAAAAGAGCTTCTAAATTGACATACTTGAACTTTTGTTGGAGTGCAACAACAACAATTACCTAAATATTACTAAGTTTTGTTACTCAGCCAAACAGACAATGCCGATAATTGTCTGGTCTTGTCTGAACGACATGCGTACACAACGGAACGAATGTCATGATTTTTAGCTTTGGGGAAATTGGTGGGACCCGGACGAAGACGACGACATCATGGAATGCGACAGTTGTATTTAACGCACTCACCCAAAGCTGGCTGTGCTACAAGGTTCAAGTTCAATGTCATTGCATTCATTATTTGAGTGCGGCGAGGTAGTGGGTACTGGGGAGGTGACTCGTGAGACAAGTAAATATCGAAATGAACAACTACAATAAGAACGTATAATAATTTGTGTAAACGTGGTATGTCTACATTTTTATTTGAGACGTAGAACTGTAATTAAAGGTATATCGATATTATCGTCAAATGGAAACCAAAATAAGCAAAATTGGAATTGGCTTGAATAAATTTGAATATTTTTGGAATCAGGGAGAAAGAGTTTTCGGATCATGGGGTTGGAAAAATTGGTGAGCGAAGGTATACATTAGTATATATTATTTATAGTTTGCTTGGAAGGGTTTGTGGAATGTAATTTGTATAACCGAACCGCAAACAAGTCTGTATCAATGTTAAGAGTTTTTTTTTTTCAAAATAAAAAATAAAAATTCCGAACTCAATTACCACACTTTTTATTGTAAGACATGATTTAATTATTTTTTTCTCCCATCAATTAAATTAATATGAACCCAGTTAGCCTCAAGCAGATTGCAAAAAAATATATATTTGTAATTCAATTATGGCTTAATTGAATTTCCCATAAATCAATTTACTGTATACAACAACACCGGTATGTTACGTAGGATTCGGCTTTTCTCTTTAATTAATTATTTAATAAATAGCTGAGGCAGTAACCTGTTATATTTTGGGTAATTTTCAAAATCAACATTTAATTGGATTCTGTCGAAATTTATTGACCATAATTAAAAACGGCTACTAATGGTCTAAAGAACTGCATCATACAGGTTTTTGTCTGCAACAATTCATTTTATTGTGCTATTTATTAAGAAATATTCGTTAATAACTCCAGGTCTTTAAAAATCAGGCCTTAAAATATTCTGTGAGAAATTAAGGCCTACAGCTGGATTTTGAAAGAATATTTTTTAAATTAAAAATATTATTTAAATTATCTATGCCTATAACTGACATTAGAAAAAAATATTATTTAAAAAAATACAGACCTAAAAATGTCCTGTTATCCTGAGAATTCTTCTATAGAAATAAATTTAGTCCTGTGGTCTTGAGAATTTTTTTCTACAGAAAAAACTTCATTACTGTGGTACTGAAATTTTTTTCTATAGAAAAAATTCAGTCCAGTGGGCCTAAGAATTTTTTTCTACTGAAAAAAGTTCAGCCCTATGGTTTTTTCTATAGAAAAATTCAGTTCTTTGGTCTTGGGAATTGAATTTAGTCCTGTGGTCCTGAGAATTTTCTACAGAGAAGACTCTATTCCTGTGGTCATGAGAATTTTTCTATAGAAAAAAGTTCCATCCTGTGGTCCTGAGCATTTTTTCTGTAGAAAAAAACTTCAGCCCGGTGTTCCTGCGTTCAGTCCTGATGTACTGAGAATTTTTTCTATAGAAAAGAAATCAGTCCTGTTGTCCTGAGAATTTTTTCTATAAAAAAATTCAGTCCTGTGGTCCAGAGTATTTTTTCTGTAGAAATAAGTTCGGAACTTGGGTTCTAAGATAAGATTCTAAAAAAAAATTCAGACCTGTTGGTCCTGAGATGTTTTTTATGGAAAAAAGTTCCATCCTGTGGTATTGAGAAGGTTTTCTATAAAAAAAGGTGAGAATTTTTCTGTACCTAAAAGTTCAGTCCACAGTCTTAAATATTCTTTAAAAAATCCACGCCTTATAGTAACGCCTTCAAAAATATTCTTTAAAAAATCCACGCCTTATAGTAACGCCTTCAAAAATATTCTTTAAAAAATCCACGCCTTATAGTAACGCCTTCAAAAATATTCTTTAAAAAATCCACGCCTTATATAGGCCTTAGAAAAATATTCTTTAAAAAATCCACGCCTTATAGTAACGCCTTCAAAAATATTCTTTAAAAAATCCACGCCTTATAGTAACGCCTTCAAAAATATTCTTTAAAAAATCCACGCCTTATAGTAACGCCTTCAAAAATATTCTTTAAAAAATCCACGCCTTTCTAAGGCCTTTAGAAAAATATTTTTTAAAAAATACAAGAGGTTACTTAGAAAAATATTCTTTATAAAAAATCCACGTCTGCCTTTTGTCATATAAAAAAATGCTTTAAAAAGCCAGCCTTGAAAATATTGTTGTATCTATTTTTGTGTACCCTCCATTATCTGAAATCATTAGCAAATATTTGAACTAAATACTTTAGGCCATTATTATTTTCACTCGGCTTTTTTTTACCAAGTCATAGAAATCACATTCTGTCATTAACTGAGAATGTATTTCCTTAATTTTCTTCAAATGAGAAAACATTTCAAAAATAGCGAACAAAAAGTTCCCAAAATAATTAAATATAATTTTATTTATTTTTTTTTTTTTTTGGAATATTTTAACCTTAAACTTAGCACGAAATTTTTAACAAAAAAATACCCGACTTGAAAAATCACCTGTAAATTAACTCATAATTATGGCTGAAGACATGCGAAGGTGTTTAGCACCATTACCACCTCAACACAAAACTAAGTCAGTATTTCCATAGCAAAGTAAAATAACAAAAAATAGATAAAATAACTTTCTATTGTTAAGTCAAAAAAGGTAAATATAAACAAAAACAACAACAACCATCATTATTATTAAATAAAGCAAAGGCAAACAACAAAAACATGGTTCAAGAAATTAAAGACCATAAAAAATCATTAAACATGCAATTGTCTTAAAACAGCAGCGTCACACAATTTTTTTGGAGTTATCGTAAGAAGACCAAATCT